AACACACCACCCTCGCCGCGGTTCTTGCGCTGTCCATTCTTTCGACTCGTTCTCTCGCCCCACACGGCGTCGCCCCTGGCCATGGCCCCCCGGCTCTTCTCCTTTTCGCACTCCACGCCTAGATTTGTCCGCCTGTCCTCTTTCTCCATGGACGCGCCTCCCACGTGCGTGTTACGCCTGGTCACCGCGTCGACAATTCTCGGATCCAGTTCTTCATCGCTGTACAGCTCGTCGTCGTGCTTGACTAGATCTTCGTCCGTGACTGGTCGCAAATCTACCACCACGCTCATGTAGTTCTGCACGCACCTCTTTGTCTCTTCACATGGCATGCCTTTCTTTAACCACTCCAACGATGCCTCCGCCCAGGACCCGTGCGCTCCGCGGAACTCCCGCAAATGCGGCACTCCACTTTCGACATCGTCACGAAGTGTGAACGCCCGGAAATTTACCATCAACAAGAGCCCGTTCCTATCCTCCTGTCCCGCTCCCTGTTTCGGCTGCGGCGCCCCATGAAAACTAGGGTTTCTCGGGCGCTTGGACTCTCTCGGAGCGTTCTTGGGCGTTTTGGAAGTATCTTCGGCCGTCTTGAACCCCTCTTGGACCGTCGCGAGCGCCCAACACGGCCCAAGAAGCGCCCAAGAGACCCCCAACGCGCCCCGAGCGGCCATTTACACTCATCCATCCGCCCCACCCCCCTCCCCAGGACCCCTCCCTCGAGGTCTTCGCCCAAACACAACGTCATCACTTGTACCTGGTTCTTTCCGTCACGTGGACCAGCACGGGAACGGAAAGGGCGTTTCAAGGACTTGCCCGCGATAGCTCGCGTAATCACAGCCTTGGCGCTGGAAGCGATGTTTCGCACCACTGTGCACAATCGCAACCTCGGTGATCGAAACTCGTTACGTCATCGTTCTTAGCGGTAGCCTTGGCGTTAAGAGTTTTTTCCAATTCCCCGCGCTCCCGAGAGCCGTGGCGTTGAACGACTGGTCACCTCCTCCTCCTCATTCTCCACCTCTTCCTCCTCCCCCTCCTCCTCTTCCTCCTCATCCTCCTCCTCCCCCTCCTGCCTCCTGCTCCTCCTCCTCCTCCTCCTCCTCATCCTCCTCCTCCTCCTCCTCCTCTTGATCCTCCTCCTCCTCTCCTCCTCCTCCTCCTCCTCCTCCTCCTCTTGATCCTCCTCCTCCCATCCCTCCCCATCCTCCTCCTCCGCCGCCTCCTCCTCCTCCTCCTCCTCCTCCTCCTCCTCCTCCTCCTCCTCCTCCTCCTCCTCCCCCTCTGCCTCGTTCCCCATCCATCCCCCCTTCCCCCTCCACCCCTTCCGCCTCGGCCTCTTGGGAGCGGACCTCTTGGAAGCCTGTTGGTGGCTGGCCAAGATGTCCCCAGGGCCTCAAGACGACACCGAGAGAGGCCTAAGAAAGCACCACGAGCTTCCCAAGAGAGCCCCTAGAGGCCGCCAAGAGACCCCCAACAGGCCGCCAAGAGAAGGCCCTCTTCGGCCGTCTTGACGGTATTGGGATAAAGCCGTCTCTCCCCGCTTTCGCCGTTGGGAGCCTTGGCGTGATGAGCTTTCTGCGTTACCGATCACTCTTTATTTGCCCTGGGTCTTCTGGGCCGTCCTCTTGGGGCCTATTAAGGGGTTCTTTTGGACTGTCTTGGGGCCCTCTTGAACCGTCTTGGGACCATTTGGGACGTCCACTTTTCTCAAATGCTGAGGGCTTAACCGATAACTCTCAGAAGGTCTTGCATGCTTCCCCGATTGCGGAAAAAACGCCTGACGGGGAGCTGACCAGGTCTTCCAAATTGTGGTGAGAGTTCCACCGATAACTCTCAGAAGGTCTCGCGTGCTTCCCCGATTGTGGGAAAACGCCTCACGGGCCGACAGGCCCCTTAGGGGCGGCGCGGGCGGGCCGGAGCCCAGCCCCTTGCATCTCAAAGTAAGACAACCATAAGGTAAGCTGCACTGAATGCTATCATAAGATATTGCATCCTAAACGAAGGTTACAGACGAAAGGTAAGCTGCATTCAATGCCGCGCTGCAAGGACCAGACATTGCAAGACGAGAGAAAACGACTAATGATGCTTGACGATTTCGCGCTGCTATCACAAGGAATACATGAGGTCGGCGGATGTGGCGTAAGCCTGTAGAATCAGCAGCACCATCATCATCATCATCATCATCATCATCATCATCATCATCATCATCATCATCATCATCATCATCGTCATCGTCATCGTCATCGTCATCGTCATCGTCATCGTCATCATCATCTGCTGCTGCACCGTCGGAATCATCATCATTAGCATAGCACCTGTCATCACTACCGTCAACACCATCACCGTCATCAGCATCACCAGCATCATCATCATCATCATCATCATCATCATCATCATAATCATCAGCATCATCACTAACAGTGGCATCGCATTCACAATCGCCATCACCATCGTAGGCGTGTTCGTTGCCCCCACCAGCATCATCCATCCTCTTCACTGCTGATGAACATAGCCCCACCCCGGATACCATTCATAATTTGTTGGCAAACGAATCGATCGATATTGCGGGGCGACATACATGTGTGTGTTTGGTCGGCAATCGTGACCCTTCCAAACGGCGGTCAAGCAGAGGCGGGACGCACCAAACACCGCAAAACACTAACCGAACAGGGCGAAGGAGGCCTGAGGGGACGCGAGAGGAAGGCACACTTAGACCGTAAAGGTCGCCGCGCGGGCGCCGGAAAATAAGTCAGCGCAGTGCGCGCCGGAGACGAAGGAAGAGCCGCACGAGGACGCGTGGAAGCCTAGAAAAGGTGAGGGAGGTGACGCTGGCGAACGTCAAAAAGAAGCCGATCCGGGTACGGAAGCCCCCTTGGAAGCCCAATCGAAAGGGCGTGATGACCAGGGCAACGTGGAATCCCGAGGCGCGAGACCCGCGCGAGCATTCGGCAAAGATGATAAAACGGAAGCTGTCCGCGAAGGAAGCGCCCATGTCGAAAGGCGTTGCTGGGGGACGAGAACAAACTGTCGACCATCAGAAAGGGATCAGACGGACCACGGAACACACCCACACACACACACACACACGCGGCATACACACACACACACTCAAAACACACACACACACACACACGAACGTGCGCACACACACACACACACACACACACACACAAACACACACACACACACCTACACTCACACACACACTTTTTTGATCTGCAGGGCGAGAGCGAACCTCTTCCGCTGAAAGCTAAGCGGGACGCGCACAGCTGTAATTAGCAGAGAAAGGGCGGTCACACACACACACACACACACACACACACACACACGCACACACACACGCATACACACTTTGAAGCCGGCGGCGCTGGAGGCGCCTCAGGCGCGAACGCACCATGATGAAAAGTCAAATCAGAGCCGTGCAGACACTTGGTGAAAAGCACGAGGCGCTGCAAGGCCAAAGTGCAGCGGCCAACAAGGCGAATAACAAAAACTTGGACTCACGAACATTTAGGCGCCAGCAAAAGTCTGGTGCTAACCGGTGCCACTGAATCAGAACAGTGTGTAAAAATTAGCCCGACGAAGGACCCAACCATATGCAGCTGCGAGTGCCGCATGGTGGGTACCGCTTTCGGTGGAGCTCCCTATGGGGCAACGAAGCGTGCGAGGGGTGCGCCGAAATCGGTGGCGCGGACGCATGCGAACCCTGCCACTGGAGCCTTCGGTGGAGCTCCCCATGGGCCCACGAAACAGTGTCCTGGGTGGCGGTGACGCATGCGGACCCTGCCACTGGAGCCTTCGGTGGAGCTCCCTATGGGGCCACGACGGGCGGTCCTGGGTGGCGGTGACACATGCGGGCCCTGCCACTGGAGCCTTCGGTGGAGCTCCCTATGGGGCCACGAAGCGCTGTCCTGGGTGGCGGTGACGCATGCGAACCCTGCCACTGGAGCCTTCGGTGGAGCTCCCCATGGGCCCACGAAACAGTGTCCTGGGTGGCGGTGACGCATGCGGACCCTGCCACTGGAGCCTTCGGTGGAGCTCCCTATGGGGCCACGAAGCGCTGCCTTGGGTGGCGGTGACGCGCGCGGACCCTGCCACTGGCGCCTTCGGTGGAGCTCCCTATGGGGCCACAAAGCGCTGTCCTGGGTGGCGGTGGCGCATGCGGACCCTGCCACTGGAGCCTTCGGTGGAGCTCCCTATGGGGCCACGAAACGCTGTCCCGGGTGGCGGTTACGCATGCGGACCCTGCCACTGGAGCCTTCCGTGGAGCTCCTTATGGGGCCACGAAACGCTGTCCTGGGTGGCGGTGACGCGTGCGGAACCTGCCACTGGAGCCTTCGGTGGAGCTCCCTATGGGGCGACGAAGTGCTGCCCTGGGCTGCGGTGACGCATGCGGGTCCTGCCACTGGAGCCTTCGGTGGAGCTCCCTATGGGGCCACGAACCGTGTGAGAGGTGTGCCGAGCTGATGATGATGATGATGAAAAAGATGATGATGATGATGATGATGATGATGATGATGATGATGATGATGATGATGATGATGATGATGATGATGATGATGATAATGATGATGAGGATGATGATGATGACGATGGTGATGATGACCCCCACCCCTCCCCAGGCGCGGCCAGACAACACGATTCTCTGTTCTTTACATCCAGATCGTATCTCTTGGACGGTGCAGCGGTTGACTTCACAAACGGCGGAACCGATCGCCCCCCCTTGAATTGAAATTGTGGCGGAGGCCACGCCAAGCGGGGAGGGGGTGGGGGGAGCTTGAGCGAATTTGGTCGGAGCCCAAAAAGGGCCGCGGAAGGCAGACGGGCACCAGCGTTTCAAGAACATGCTCAGCCCAACCCCTCCCCAGGCGCGGCCAGACAACACTATGCTCTGTTCTTTACATCCAGGTCGTACCTCTCGGACGGCGCAGCGGTTGACTTCACAAACGGCGAAACCGATCGTCCCCGAATCAGCCCGAATTGGCCCCTGGCCCATGTCAACACACCAGGCGGGTTAAACTGTCAATATGATTTCTGTCGGCGGCACCCTTTTAAATGCAAGCTGAGACGAGAGGCCAGCGAAGCCCCGAAGAAAACGAATGGCGATTTACAAGGAGCAAACACACGGCGGCGGCGACAGAGGTAATCACCACTAACAAATGGCCCACCCGAGGGCGTTAAAATGTCGAGCGGACCGTGGCGACCCGACGCCGAAAAAGCACAGGGGGGCACTCTGGAGGTCCAAACGCCACGGGCACGGCTCCAAAAACCGAGGTAATCCTGAACAGACTCTAGTTGCTCCTTGCAGGGACTGATTACAATCGCTGGACACCCAGCGGAAAAGGCAGCATTAGCAATCTTAAAGAAGGTTGCGGATGCACTGGACAATGGTTGCACGGAGCTGGTAACTACTGTCCCCCGTGTGATCAGCACTCAAATCGGGAAGCGTCACAACAACGCCGCGAACGGCACAAGAACCGACCCACCCAATGAGCATCTTTCGGACGACCGAGAGATCACACATGGAGGCACTGACCCAAACTGCACCGTGCTCACTGGACTCACAAAAGCATCGGCTCACTTCACCTTTCGAGAACCCAACTTCGAGGAAACTTGACTCTTTTGTTCACACCCGAATTTGAAGCCTCGGCGCAGCTGGCGCGCAAGGCCTCGAGCACACTCTGCGGCAGAAAGGCGGGAGCCTGCAAGACGTCGCTCCCGCCGAGCAGGCTGCCCGGCCGCGCGTGGATCATCTCGCCCCAGTCGACCTCGGCCTGCGGCGCTCTGTTCAGCAGGGAAAGGTAGCGGACGCGCTTGGCGTAGCGCAAGCTGCTGTGCGGGCTGCCGTGCCGCAGCCGCTCGGTGATCCCGCTGAATGGGAGCTGGTCCACGGCCGCCGCGTGACTCGCGGCCCCGTTGCGCACCTGGCAGGCGACCGCCGTGGGCGCCTCGGGCAGCGCGGCCAGCCTCTCTTCGAACCGCTTGGTGAACCAAGCCCCGTCGAACGACCAGAGCTGGCAGCTGGGGCCCCGAGCCCCGCGCAGGCGCCGCAGGGCCGCGCTGCCGCCGCCGCTCCAGCAAGCCTCGCGCAAGATCACGCCCTCGTCGGCGCCCATGACCTTGCTCCTCGCCCCTTCCTCGCTGGGATACAGGAGAAGGGCCCACGTGGGCTTCCCCGCCCTGCCAGGCCCGATCCAGGTCTTGGGCGTCATGCTCACTTGGTCGGACGGCAAGCGCAGCATGCCGCCCCAGGCCAACCACAGCGCCGTCGCGAACTCCAGGTCCTCCAGCAGCAAGCTGACCCCGACCACCGCCAGCACCCAAGGCCGGCACAGAGGGCCTCGAGTCCCTCTTCGGGCGCGGCGGCGGAACCCCGCCACAGCTGCCCGAGCCACAGGAAAGTTGCCGTGGCGAGACGTCCCCAAGCTGGGTCGCAAGCACTGCAGGGCCGCCAGCAGCCTCGAGCCCTCGCCGACCTCCATCCCGTCGAAGAACAGGACGCCCATGTAGTTGGCAGCCAGCTGGTCGAGGCGCCGAGTGGAGATCTCCGCCACCGCCCCTTCGTTGGCCCACTCTAGGAAGTTCCGCACTCGCTCTCGGAAGGCGGTACGCGTGGGCGGCTTGACCTTGTTGGTCTGCAAGAAGGTGAGCCCGGGCGTCGTCCCGTGCGTCGCCGTGGCGGGCCGTCCTGGTGCTCGCCCGCTGTCTTCTCAAGATCTCGGCTCGAGTCACAGGCCGACCCGCACGACTCCGTGTCGCTGCTGGAGGAGCTGTCAGAGCTGAGGCTGAGGCGGTGCTCGACCCCGCTGGCGTCTCCCATTTCTAACCAATGGGGGAGACTGTTCGGCGGGTTTGCCCGCCATCTTTGCCTTTTACATCCGCCGCTCCGGGGAAGGGCGCCCCCGTCGGTTCCGCCGAGACGGTTTGCGACCGCAGCCCCGCAGAACAGTGCCTCCGCCACTTCCGCCCACACGGCCCTCGACCACCTCAGGAGCTCCCGGCGACGGCCAGAATTCCAGCCCGATGCGCCCCTCCAACGCAGCTGCGGCGAGGGCGACATGGCTCGGCGCACAGAACTCGGACCAAGTGGCTGTTATCCCGGTCCGTCCGCCATCCTTCTCGTTTACATCCGCCACTCCGAAGAAAAACGCCCTCGCCGGCTCCGTCAAAATCTTTTCGACCGCAGCCCCGCAGAAAAAGACCCCCGCCACTTCCGCCAAGATGGGCCTCGCCCGCCTCAGGAGTTTCCGCCGACGCCCGAAACGCACCACATGAGCGCGTGGCGCCAGCTCGACCGCCCCACTTGTTTGCGCGGGGTGGGCAATGAGGGCCACCCCCATGCCTCTGTGAGCGAACGCTCCAGATCACCGCGCGTCACATGGTTGCGCCAGCTCAACGATCAGCGCGTAGGCCGCGCCTTCCCCAAGCGGACGCCTGAGGAAAGTGCGGCCTTATGCCAGGGGGCGGAACGGCGCAGCCGCTTACATAATTAAGCGCAGTTGTAGACTATGGCCACGTCGGGCCCGAGGAATCATACGTCCGCCAGCTTCCATCAGACCTCGACCGGACCAAGATCGTCTCCCAGGGTGCAAATGTATAATATACAATAACTTAAATCGGGCGCGTTACGCTAGGAGAAATGAAGGAGAGGAGGCCGGCAAGGGGGGGGGCTGCGCCCATCCGAGGGAACGGGCCAGCCCCCCCTCCCAAAAACATGTTTCGGCCTACCAATGCGCCCGCCCCGTTCCGCGAATCCCATTGGGGGGTCGAGATCCCCGCTCTGCAGTGGGATTCGCGGAACGGGGCGCCCCCCCAGGTGCCTCTTATCTTCGCGCTGGCGCCGGCAATGTGCACCCAGGGGAGCGCGGGTTGAAATGAGCGGGGGGGCAGGGAGGATGTGGAGTGGCGTTCCGCTCTGAAGCGCCCTCAATCCAGCGAAACCGCAGCCCCTCCCAGGGGGCGCCGCGCGGGCTGGGCCAGGCACATGCGGCACCCTATGTCGGCGCGCGCATGTGAAAGGACCATATTTGTGCGCCAGTTGGAAAGTTCTTGAAGACCCACAAGGCCTGGCGATCTCCAGGCGCGTGAAACGACTGCCTGCTGAGAGGCCCCCGGGGGCCGCTGAGAGTATCCGGAAGTTTCCAAGAGCCGTCGGGCCCCGAAATGGCCCCACCCTCAAACCCACCGAGAGGCCACCAAGAACACCCCCCCCAGACGGCCGAAAATGGCAAGCCAAAGGCCCAAAGAGTTTCTCCAAGAGGCTCCCCAGAAGACCGTAAGAAACCTCCCAGAGAAGCCTCGCGTCCACGACCCAAGCCGAAGGCCATAATATATATAATTACAGCATATGATGTAAAATTATATCAAGTGAGACGTGTTTGTGCTATTGTTGGAGCAGGTTGCCCCATCAGCAGCGCAAGGATGATCCGGACTGGGCTCGCCAACCATACGAGGAACGAATACAAACGTTAAGGAACTGCACCAGATTGTGGATGCAACGCTCGAGCCCATAGGAATACCGAACCCGCCCTTCCTCTGTGCAACCGGCCGGCCCGCGAGCCCGCCGCTCCTCTGTGCAGCCGGCCGGCCCGCGCTGCCCGGCAGCGGGAGGTGCTCCACTCTGGAACTCTGGCGCCCGCGACCCATGGGCACTGACCCATTGCCCGGGACCAGGCCCGCCCCCCCAAACCGTATTGGAAGAACCACGCATCCCGTTAGGAAGGGGCGCAATTCGCGACCTCACACGATGTCCACGCGTCCTTACGTGAGCAGCCACGCAGGGAAACGAAACCCACGCAGATTGTCACAGCGGCGGTCCCAACGCCCAGTCAGCCTGACGACGAACCTTCCGTGATCACCCCTCCGCGCCGTGCATGGTCCGCGCAAGGACCGAAGCTGCGCAGAAAGACGAAAGAGAGCGGAGGGGGCAGGGAGGACGAGGCTCTCGAGAAGGAGGAATAGGAGGACGAGAGAAGAGGAGAGAGGAAGAGGAGGAGGAGAGGGCAAAGAGGACCAAATCATGGACGGAGAAGAAGAAGACGACCAAGAGGATAACAACTGCATTTGAATATTTCGAAGCTCCCTTGGGCGACGTCTTGGGCCGCCTTGGGACTTTCGTTGGCCGTCCGGAACCTCTTCGCGCATACATGGTCGTTTATGGACGCTTTTGTCTTAGGATCGCTTCTGGCGCCTTGACGTGGCATGTTCGGAACCTTCCTAAGGTCCCCGATGCCCCCCAGAGGCGGGCCTGAATTAAAGAGGAGGAAGTATCGAACGGGAGCGTTGTTGTTGTTGTTGTTGGGGTGCCAGTTTGGGCGGGACTCCGAAGCGCCTGAGTTTGAGTCTCAATGGCAAAGGAAATGCACCAGGTGGGCGAGAACCCCAAGGGGTATTCATAAGAATTCCATAGAATCGCGTAGAAAATTAAATTCCAGGGGGACTCTGGAAGCCCCCCCCGGAGGCCATGCCGAAACGAGGGCCCCAGTCTTGAGTAAAGGACGAGGAAGTATCGAGCGGGAGCGCCATTGTTGTAGAAGGCCGTTTGCGGAAACCAAAGCGAGAGCGTCGATCCTGAGTAAAAGGGAAGGAAATATCGAGCCGGAGCGCTGGGTTTCACAAGGCATCTGGAAGCCCCCCGGAGGCGATGCCAAAACGAGGGCCCCAGTCTTGCGCAAAAGGCAAGGAAGTATCGAACGGGATTGTTGTAGGGGGGGCGTTTGCGAAAGCCGAAGAGGGGAACCGTAAAAAGGGAAGAAGCAGGGTTTCCACAGGGACTCTGGAAGCCCCCCGGAGGCGATGCCGAAACAAGGGCCCCAGTCTAGAGCAAACAGTGAGCCGTTGTTGTATGGGGGGGGGGGGGGCGCTTGCGGAAGCCGAAGAGAGAGAGAGAGAGAGAGAGAGAGAGAGAGCCAATGCTGAATAAAAGGGGAGGAAGTATCGAGCCGGAGCGCCGGTCTGGTGGGGAAGCGGGTTTCGGCGGCGAGCAAGAGCACCGGGCCTGAGTAGAAAAAAGGAGGAAGTATCGAGCCGGAGCGTTGTTGTTGTTGGGGGGCCGGTTTTGGCGCACCCCCGAAACGCCTGAGCGTGAGCCTCAATTTCAGAGGAAATGCAGCCGGCGCCTAGGCGAGAACGCCAAAGCGGATTTAAGGGGTCCAACAATAATAGTTGTTTAGTCATTAAGGTTCAACAACAACAACAACAACAACAACAACAACAATCATTTAAGACTGGGGACACTCCGTTCTCACCAGTGCCAGGGTTTTCATAGGAGGCAGGCAATACCCCCACTTTGTGGGGGGGCCGGTTCAAGCTCTACCAAATTTCCAAACGACTCTTCGCCACCACCCACACCCAGCTTCCCGCCCTATGACGTTCGGACACTTCACTTCGTGGCATGCGGACGACCGTGGCTACTATTCAGGGCCCCGCGGCCGACGACGACGGCGTGCGCGCGCGAAGAAAAAACGAATGTGTCCCGCATGGTATTATTTGACAGGGATGATGGCCCTGGCAGGTGCGCAACCGTTGTCGCAGAAGTTCGAAAAAGTTGCTCGCAAAAGCCCGTTTGACAGAAATGTTTAAAAAGTGTTGGGTTTCCTACGAATCCGCAAGAGCGCGCGGGATGAGATTTTGACATTTTTTTGTTGAAAAACCATTGGTTTTTTGATGTTTTTATGTTAAAATCGCTCCGAACACTAAGCTTTTGGAAGGATTTCGTCTTGCGCGCGCGAATGTCCACTTTACCTTATTTTTTGCAAGGGATTCTTGAAATTTGATTATATTAGAACAAGAAATGTCATTTTATAGTGTTTTTTGCAAGGGAAAACGGATTACAACAAAACAACCGGATCTGGACCCCATCCACTTTTCTGAGGCTTCCTCACGAAAATGATGAAAATGTAGCTGCGGCCTAGGCGGCGCGGGGGGCCGTGCACCAGGGGCCCAACAATAATTATTCTTTAGAATTAATAATGTTCAACAACAACAACAACAATTACTAGCACGTGGGGACACTCCGTTCTCACCAGTGCCAGGGTTTTCATAGGAGGCGGGCAATACCCCCACTTTGTGGGGGGGCCGGTTCAAGCTCTACCAAATTTCCAAACGACTCTTCGCCACCACCCACACCCAGCTTCCCGCCCTATGACGTTCGGACACTTCACTTCGTGGCATGCGGACGACCGTGGCTACTATTCAGGGCCCCGCGGCCGACGACGACGGCGTGCGCGCGCGAAGAAAAAACGAATGTGTCCCGCATGGTATTATTTGACAGGGATGATGGCCCTGGCAGGTGCGCAACCGTTGTCGCAGAAGTTCGAAAAAGTTGCTCGCAAAAGCCCGTTTGACAGAAATGTTTAAAAAGTGTTGGGTTTCCTACGAATCCGCAAGAGCGCGCGGGATGAGATTTTGACATTTTTTTGTTGAAAAACCATTGGTTTTTTGATGTTTTTATGTTGAAATCGCTCCGAACACTAAGCTTTTGGAAGGATTTCGTCTTGCGCGCGCGAATGTCCACTTTACCTTATTTTTTGCAAGGGATTCTTGAAATTTGATTATATTAGAACAAGAAATGTCATTTTATAGTGTTTTTTGCAAGGGAAAGCGGGGGGGAACAAAACAACCGGATCTTGATCACATCGAATTACCTGAGGCTTCCTCACGAAAATGATGAAAATGTAGCTGCGGCCTAGGCGGCGCAGGGGGGCCGTGCACCAGGGGTCCCAACAATAATTATTCTTTAGAATTAATAATGTTCAACCACAACCACAACCACAACAACAACAACAACAACAACAACAACAACCACAACAACCACAACAACAACAGAAACGACTGGCGCGTGGACCTCGTCGCCCCCAGGCGAAGACTGTTCGAACAGCCGCGCCCTCCAGCGGCGTCCCTCTCCCAGGCCGCCCCGCACGGTGCGGGCGGCGCGCCCGCGTCCGCGCCAGCGTCTCGCGCGGCGGCTTCGGCACCCGCCTCGGCGGCGGTGGAGAGCGCGGCGGGCGGAGGCCCGCGCGCCGCTCGGATGGTGCTGTTCCCACCACACTGAAGGACCGCATCCCAGAGACGACGTTAGGCACCCAGAAGAATACCGAAACAGTGTCTGCCCGACACGCTAGCGAAGTGTCGAACGAGTATCGCCTCCAAGGGCCCGACACATGAAAACCAAATGAAAACCTATATTTTCTGTACTCTTTTGGTGCTTGATTTTTCTTCTGGTGATCCAGGCAATTGTGAGCTGAAGAATCACAAAGGAAGTGAAGGAGGAGGAACTGAAGGGGGGACCAGATCAGGGGGGGAGGGGGCGAAGCTTCGAGGTTCGAGATCTGAGGTTTTCGTACGCGGACGATGTCTGATCGCCGTACCGAGCTCAAATTTCAAGGCACCCCCTGGCATCGACGAGTGTCAACTGCGTCGACGTGCTCACTTGCGAGCCCAATGAAAAAGCGCACGCCCCCCACTCGGACCAGAAGGGCCGACGAGAAGACTCGACAGCCAATTATAAGGCCGCCGATGAAAACCAAACGCGGTACGGTGCACATTTTTTGTTCTCTAAAGAAAACAAAAACTATGCACCGTACCCCCCGGAGACCTACATTTGGCGAGGCCTCTCAGAAGAATCCGTCCGACCCTTCACCCGCGAAACCGCTGGTCCCCGCGAGGATTTCCAAGGGCATGGACGCGGGCGCACGTCAGTTCACAAATCCTGCACCACTATCATGCGCAAGTCTGCAATTACGGACAATGCACCAGGGAGCTGGCCACGGTACAATGCATGTAGATCGTCCGCGGATTTCTGACGGTTCCGCTGGTTCTCGGCGGCTCTCCAGCCTCGCGATGCCTTCCAGCGGCTGCGCCTGGCCGAGGGCGTTCCTGGGGTTCTTGGACTGTCCCGACCGGCCGCCAGAGGCCCGAAGCGTGACCCCCCCCCCCAAAAAAAAACTGCCAGGTGACCAGCTCAGGGCGGGGAGACGTCGACCTGCAATCGGCGATACATCGCCGATAGATCCGTGAGAGGCCCCCGACAACGACTCCGCACTGTCCTCGGCGGGATGGGCCTATCGGCCCCCAATCGGCGATCCCTGGGCGATTCGGGGTCGATGCGTCCCCCCCTGAGCCTATCCCCCCGTTACGATGCACGTCTGGAAAAGGAACGGAAACTATGGATACAATGCCAAACAGCAGTGCCTGTTCACGTGAAACAAAAACCGCTGTCCTTCAGTTCCTGTCAAGTGGACGAGAACTGCTGAAAAAATGGCTAGATTAGTTGTCCGATGGGCCCCGAATCACAGCAAATCCTGTTCCCAATGAGGAAGCACAGCTGTTGAACATCGTACCTCGATTTTCCGTCCCCGTTCCCGGCATGCAGGGTCGAGGCGACGCGAGGCGCCAGGACGGCGTCCCGAAGGGCGGGCGGCCCT